GAGTGTGTTCTAGTAAGAGAATTTTCCCTCCTTTCTTCCCTCCCTCCTTCCCTTTCCAGCCTCCAATCTAATATACAAAGCAGAAGTGCTCCTGATGGTACCCTGGAAGGTGGCTGGCTGAGCATTTTTCAAGAATTTCAGTGAGAGGGTGTGAATTATTCAATAATAGTTCTGAAAAAGCCCAATGTAGACTTAGACCTTAAAGTACTCAAAGGGTTAATCTGAGTTCATAAATCATGGGAAGAACATTCTCTAGGAGTTGAAGATTTACACTTTGAAGGGAGTTGAGATTTACAAGTGCACAACACAAAATTGTCAGTCTGTGAGATGACTCCTGGAGTACCTTGTAACTGAGTACAACTTACAACTTCAAATAAAGAAATGAAACATTTTAAAGGACTGGGAGATGGTTAGGAAGCTGGACGAGATATGTAAGTCATCAGGCCTCTACATACACCGTGGGAAGAGTTGTACAGCATCTTCATGGAATCCAGTGACACCTTAAACTGGCTGTAGAAGGGAGTACCAAGCAAGCTCGTGAGTTTTTGAAAGAAGATTACACCTGTGTGTGGCCGAAGCCCTTACCATCTGGCATTCTAATAAACCACTGATGTCTCAAAGTATCTCAGATTCCTCAGGTACCCATCAGTAGTCTTCTCTCTGCCAAAAATGCTAGGATGGAATCATCTGAAATGAGAGGCATTTCCTAAGGTGTTGTGATGCTTTGTGTAAAGAGAAGACATACCACATATCCAAATCTGTGCCATGGGACTGTGCTTGGCCATCCAATAAATTTCCTGTTCGGTGGCTGCCAGAGAGCATCATGCAACTCACCTCTTCTCCCAGAGCAACATGAATGGCTGGATCTTCCCCCACATCAGCAACACTGCGGGGATCAAGATGATTGCTTCTCTGTGACTCTTGAGTAAACCACCTGAGTTTACAAGTAAAGCCAAGAGACTGTGTTTGATCACCTTGGAAACATGGAAAACCTCTCTGGCCAAACTGCATTCCTTGCAAAAATTGGCGCCTCACTGTCTGCAGCTAACAGGTGGGAAGAATTTGATCTCAGTAAATAATTATTTTGCTGGTGCACAAGAAAAGAGCAGAGTCTAGCTCAAGCAGTGTTAACTGCACAGGGTGAACAGAAGCAAAAGCAGCAAGAATTATTTTAGTCAGTCAAGTCAGAAGACCTGATAGAGGAAATCTGCTGGGCAAGAAAACATGATTTAACATACCCACTTTTCTAAGCATAACTTCATCTAAAAGGCAAAAGGCTGGCCTCTCACTATCATGCACAAACAAGAGGGAAACTGTATGCAGCCTTTAACAGGAGGAAGGCTGAAGAAGCCTGTGACTCTACATCTGCTAAGAGGAACAGCTAGACAAGCAGCTAGGTAGGTTATATGTGCAATCTCTATATACATGCATGTACCCACAATGGCTAACTGACATCTATATAAACGCATGGTAAGCATATCTGTGCCTGTGTTGACAGTATATGAGTGCACACACTTGGCCCAGATTTAGCGAGAACATTTTCAACCTGTGGTTGATGTGGTCAGTCTTCTGGAAGCTGCTGCCATTGCCCTACGTGTATGCTCAGGTACATACAAGTTCTTTTATGGGTATGATCACAGCCTGTGTGTGCGCTGTGGGAAATACATTCCAGAGGATGCTGTTTGTGGTGAAAACCTTAAGCAGTTATTTGTCTGGCTCTTTGACTCAAAGTTTTTGTCCCATTTGCATAACAGCCAGATACAATCTTACTTGACTGTGTCAATCACAAAACAGCTCAGAGGTGCTTTTCTGAAAATACATAATATTTGCAGTTTATTTTTCAGTTTGGTATGAGGGGAAAGGGGTTTTTCAAGCACGGATTTCTTTCTTAGACATGCATCCCATGGATGACTCAAGGCAGATAGGCTCTAGTCCTTCACCAGCCGGTAGATGTGATGCTGGGCACCGTGGTCACTAGTTGAAACTTCAAAAACATATGCTATGCACAGCAAGGTCTCCTGTGTGTCCCTGTTTGTCACAACCTAGACAGAAAAGAAGAAGCTGAGATAGCAACTGCTGTTTTTCTGCTTACATATTTCAACACATTTAAAATAGAACAAAAAGTCAGTAATAGGCAAAGAACAGAGAAGCAAGCAGGAACGATACACAGCTTGGCCACCACAACCCCAGTCCATGTGCCCACACACCCAAGCAAAGCACTTTCTCAGCATCAGGACTACAATGCAGTGAAGAAACCAGGGAGGTGAACAGAATTCACTGTGGAGAAAAGAAAGCTGTAAACAAGCAGTGACCACACAAGTAAAAGCAGGTCCAAAAGGTCCTCTACTTCCCACCCCTGGTGTTGCACATTTCAGCAGAGAGAAGTCATTTCACACAAACTTTCTTTCTGCTCTGTTTGTTGGGTACAGAGAGGCTACCTCTTGTGGCACATCCACTCCTGCTCACGTATGTGTTAATACATCACAGCCATGAACAACTGTTCCTCCATCTCCTCCTGCTTGTCAGTGGTAGACACAGACCATGAGGATTACAGGCTATAACTCATTTTACAGGAGACTTATAGGTTTAACTCCATTACGCTTCCCATTCCATGCACTGTAGACGTCAGAAGGATGACTGCTACACTCACGCATTCCTACAGAAGCTCCTTTTTTTCCATTTCTTGTTCTGTGGTCCCTTAGGAACCTTAGCTTTTGTGCAATGTGACTCAGTGCCAGCAGCATGGTGGCAGAACAGTGTTGTCCTAGTTTCAGAAGTACGCATTACCTACACTATATGGCAGGGACAAGCAAAATGTTGCACACAGAGCTCCCAGCTCAGCTTTCCTCTCTCTGTCACTGCACAAATTTACACATTCTTGTCATCTGAGTTTGTGCCATAGCTAAAGTTTCAAGCAGTTCTCTCCTGCTGGAGGAGATATATTTTTATCAGCAGTAGAACCAACTCAACTGCAAAAGAAAAACATACCAGCTAGAAGATTGGACTATACCAAAGCCCAACTATTCTTATGAAAACAGAAAGAAAATAGATGTTTTCAAACTTGTTTATTTATTAATTTTAGAGGCCTGACTTTGGTTTATTCTGTTTTCTTTTTTTACCTCATGATTGAGTTCGCAGCTGAACTAACCCTTCTCCTTTTTTCTGCAGGCTGTTGCGAGTTATAAAGGTAAGGCATCAAAACCTTTTCTGGAAAATGGCTAAATCCAGAGCAGTGTGCAAAGCAAAATAACTCATGCTTGTGAGATTAGGGATATCTAACCTTAATAAAAGGGTCTAGAAAAAATTTAGTTATACTTGCCTCAGAAGTTGATAGCGGGGACTAAGGACTAGCAGCATGTCTTGCATAAAGTATGGCCACTTTTCAGCCTCCCAGTGGGAAGTGGAAAATGCTCAGTCTGCTGCTCAGGCAATGGGACCGCAAGGCAATATATAAAATACATAAAAGCCAGCATTCACACAACACATACCTCTCTGTGACAGAAGGTAAGGGAAGGACATGAGATTACTCAAAACATAAAGCCCCAGAGGAAGTATAACGATGTGACAACTTCGTTCCTAAAATTTATAAAACGTGCTGGCCTGACTGAGGAATGAAACATGAATAAGCCATTACAGCACTCCTCAGTATGGATTACAGCACACAGGCCTTCCATCTCTCTGTCCCTGCTCCCTTCCACACTTTTGATCATCTAAAAACCCAAAATCTTAGCATTTTTACTCCTCTTTTCTTCCTGATGCTAAAGATCTCAGTACAAACATGAAAAAGTAAAGCCTTCTAAAGCCCTGTGAGGTATATTAACCTTGTGTTTTATAACTGAGGTACCCGAGCCACAGAGCAGTGAAATGTGTTGCTTGAAGACCCACAAAATCTCCAGAGAATGGAATGATCACTTGAAATCAAGATCACTTGATTTCCACTCCTTCATACAGCTGCTAGCACCTCTTCGACTTACCCATCCTCAGGTTCTCTGGGCAAAGATCTGAGACATGTCTTGTAGAGGTGAGCACAGAACTCAGTCCCTTAGGAAAATCTGCCTTTTAAACTGTCTTTGCCTTGTTCCCAAATTTAGGCTGCACCTGAGCCTGGAAAGGCTCCTGGTATAACATAGACACTAATGCAAACCTAGTTGTTCTAGTCTTGTAGTAGTGCTCTACCTAGAGGTTGCCGTGATTCATAAAGGTGTCACAGAGCTTCTTCACTCAACAGGCCCTTTTTCTTTATGTGCCCCCACATTCTTTCCAGGTTCACGACAGTGCTGAGAAAACAACTTTTTTTTTTTTTCCTACCTGGTCAGTGAAGAACTCCTCCCATGACAAAATTATCATGAAAGAGCACCTAACAGTGCCCTTTTCATTTTTTTTCCTTGCAAAAAGGACCAGGGTACAGAAAGGACCTTAACTCTCGACCAGTAGTAGAATGAGCATTTCCTTCACTGACTTGTGCATTCTTCTCCTTCTTTTATCTCTCTGCCTTGTGAGTTCTCCCTTTATCTTTCTTTTTTTTTGTTTTTTTGGTCTCTCTCACTCAAGTCTCTCAAATTCTTCTGCTTCTCTGCAAGTGCTACTATTTCTAGAGCTCCATAAATGGTCTTAAGGTGCAATATACATGAGACATAGTAAATTCAATTAGATGCTGAGCTGTAAAAGGAAATCTGCTTTGTCTCACAACGGTGAAATCCTGCATGGGGCTTACATGTTTCCAAGCTCCAACAAAAACAGTTGAAAGTCCCACCTGCAAGATAGTAAAGTTTTCCAGCACACTGTTCATCATATACTTCTCAGGAAGGTGCTTGAGTTTATGAATGAAGTTTATCATGTATTCGCAGAGAGGGGAACGGTGAATGCGATAGGAATAGTGTCCATTTTCATAGCGTGCATACTCTGTCTGCAATGCAAAACACAGAAGGGGCACATGGGGCTAATGTCACATTAGTAACATAGAGATTCAGAATGGAAAAGTTACTATGGGATTTTCAAGTCATTTACTTAGAGTAACAAGCTGATTAATCATTCCTCTACAGTACTTTGCAACAAGATCAGTCTTCTTGAGGCCTCTAACTTCTTTGGCTTGATTTCTTTTTTCTTTAGAATAGTGGGCTTCAGCTTATAGGCAGCAAACTGGCAAGAAGCTGTGAAAGGCAACTAAGAGGAGCAGACCCATGGTAAGCTGTACTATGGTCTGCATCTCTACTGGAAAAAATTAAGTGTAAATAAACTGAAAAAGCTAAAAACTACGGCTTTAGCAAGACCAGAAAGCTCCTAGTAATGACAGAAATTGTATGCTCAGGATGCTTCACAGCTGGAAAGGACTAAAGGCTTCTGGTACCTGTTAGAGAGAACATTGTATCTCTGCTCTTCCTTAGAGGAGTTTGGCCAGCGTTACACCAAGGGATTTTTCTTCTGTTCACAGTCACATCTTAGTTGCTGTATATTTCATCATCCTTTGAGCAGAAGCTGAGGCTGGATTCTGTTATTTCACAGCAGACCCTTAAATGCCCATTACCTCCTTTAACCCCAAGAGCTTGTTCTCCCTTCCCGTGCACCATGACGCCTTTCTTTGGCGTGTCTATCCCATCGTGCAAATACATAACCAGACTTCAATAATGTCTATCATATGTCTGGAGATGGGTCTTGGGGAAGGATGTAGCTTGAACTGACTGCTGACAGGAGAATTACTGCTGGTCTGCACACAGCTGCTCCTCCTGCAGGCTCCTTGAGAAAGAGAGCAGCAGGAAGCAGGTCAGAGGAGCCCTCTTAGCAGCTGAATGTGGCATCAGAAAGAATTTCTTCAGTGTCAGATCTATGCATAATCATGCACTTCCACTGTTTCTCAAGCTGTAAGTGTGCAAGCACTAAGATATGCCTCATAAAACGGTAAGACTATAGTCTGTAAATGATTAAACTCAATTAACAGCTGTGATCTATAAATTATATGTTTAAAAACACTGATGAAAGCAAGGGGCTTTATTTGGTTTTACCTTTCTGGACTAAAAAACAAGGGTCCAGGTGTCCTAGCTTTATTTTGCTCCCAAAACAACCCTCAGAAAATCACCAGAGCAGAGAGTCTTACATATTCACATGTCTTCAGAAATGAAGATTTAAGAAAAAAAGCAAATACAACCAGACTTTCAGTCAAGTCCTGAGAAAAGGCCGTGTGGCAGGCTGGAGCAATCTTACATCTGTGTGTCTCAGAAATAACAAACTATGGCATCCATCTCCCTGACAACAAGCATGGGATATATTTTGCCTTGAGGTATACACAGGATGCAAATACTTCAGGTGACAGAACAGCAGCCAGAGAGAACCTTGCACCCATGTTTCTTCTCCCTACCTCCACTTTCTCCACCACCTGCTTTCCAAAGGAACACACTTTGGTGGAACAGGTAATGACCATGTTTTCTGGGCTCTCATATTGGCTGGAAACACCATAGAAAGATCTGGATTCATCTTCAATATTGGTGTTCAAATCAGCCTGCCAAAAAAAAGAAAAAGCAAGAAAAATAGATGGTTATCAATAGATGGTTATGGTGATTTTTCACCATTACCTTGTGTAGCCAAGATTGTAAGGTCTTGGAGTGCCGAAAGCTTCTTAAGCAGATGAATGTACATCAAGCAAGCAGGAGAAATCTGAAGAGTATGCACTAAAACCCAGCTGCTGCTTTAGAAAACAGTGGTGGGGATTTACATACATATTGGGGAAATCTAGTGGAATATCATCTTAACATTAAAAAAAATATGACACAGGCCCTTGCCTTAGCTGATATTTACCATAACTGAGCAGTGCCAGGACAGTATTCACAAAGCACGTGGAGAGCAGACAAGAAGGGCACTGCAGAGACAGAGCAGTGCAACAGACAAGCTTAGAAGGGGCTGCCTCACTGAGGAGAAAAAAATTATAATATTGTAATATTATAGTGTAATAAAGCTTTTCTACCCTGGATATGTAGGTAAGGAGAAAAAGTCAGCAGAGAGAAGTGTGTAAGTACACACATTAGGCTGAGGTACTGTGATATGAAGAATGTAAGTAGACAGGATGCAACATAAGGAATGTAAGTTGTTGATGCATCCAACCCAGTCCCACCAGAATACAAATCCATCTGCATTAGCAGCCACAATTTTCACATGCGGGTGCGTAATAGTGGCCACTAGAAGCCTTTCGCTGGGACCTCACTCCTGAAAATCCCATCTGTCTGCAGCTTCCACCAGAGGTCATTCAAACCACACTTATGAAGAGCTGTTCCCTTAAGCTCTGAAAACACAAGGGGGGTATGGCAATGCCCAGCTCAGCTTCTTACCTTTCAAAACTAAAAGGGCGGAGTTTCTCTGTACTCCACAAGCCCAGGTGCTAGCTTCTGTCAGCAGAAAAGCAATTATCAGTTCCCATAGGCTGCTTCAGACTATTGTGAAGGGAACTGAGGGAAACAAGAAACTGAAGAACATGTATTTCTACTACAGTGGGCATGGTGTGAGTAAGACTGCATTAGATGCCATTCTAGCATGGTTTTCTTAGTCAATGTCAGTGAAGGTTTTTTACTGAAGATCTAGAACAGCACTTAGGTAAAGCAATGCTAATCTTGGAACTGGAACACCTCAATAATTAATCCCCCCTTTCTTTGCTGTACAGAATACCTGTCTATTCTCCAACAAGAGATAATAGCGTTCTCTTATTTCTCTTAAGTAGCAATTTCAGAAGAGGTTTAGGTCAATCTAGAAAGTGCCAGTCAAGCCTTCTCCCCATTTGTAGCCACAGAAGCTTGCTGCTGCCTTTGTGCCACCATTAGCAATTGTACAACTCTGGTTAGCCAGATGAGAGAGCTGATCTCAGCCCAAACAAATTTTGTTGTGGCTTTGGTAGTTGTCAGTCAGACAAGAAAGCTCACTTGGATCTCCACAAAGCTGCAGAGGCTAGAAAAAGTGACAACACACACAGAAGTTGAGGGTATCTCCCTATTTTGAGAGCATGTACTAAGGTTGGCTTGAGCCTCTTGGGAAACTGCACCTCACAGCTGTAGCTTGATAAGGCCAGGCTGCTCCTGACACCAAGAGAGAGTATTCTCACAGCCCTAGAGCAGTTTGCGCCTCCCTATTCCTCCCGTACTGACACAAATGTTTCTGTAGCTGTATTACAAGACTCACAGAGGAATTGCTCAGCTAGTTCTCAGCAGAATCAGTTCCCTGACCTGCTTCAGAAGCACATTTGTGCGTTTAGCAGCAACAGGGAAAGCAGGAAGCAAGACTGCTTCTTCTAGTGAGCGCTGAGTTTGAGTAAGTACAGCAACAGCTAGCAACCTGCTAGAAGCCACGCTTTGTTGTCACACATTTCAAGTTAAAAATTTTGCCCCTAGACAGTTAGGCTGAGCCATCTCTGTACCACAACACTCACCAGCAGCTCCCGTCGCACAGTTATTGTCACAGAAGAATTCATCATTTTGCCAATAGCAATACCAAAAGCACTAGCAGGAAAAGCAGCCATGTAAGCATGTGCAGATTTCCATTCAGTCCAATTCCTATGGCTGTTAACTTGCCACTTCAGTTATGTGACAGAGGAGGCAGTAAAGGAAATAAAATAAACCACCTCCTTATTTATTTCAGAAAATTCATCTGTTTTCCACTTAGCACAACACTGGGGCACTGTTGCCACTGTGCACACATATGTCCACCTACATAAAAACTACCATCTGCATTAGATAAATGATGCCCCAGAAGAACCAAGCAAACAAACCAACACAATCTAATTACCATGATATTTGTTTTTAAGTAGAAATTCAGAAGCACATAAAAGACAAAATTTAGGATAGGTTTTTCATGAAGTACAGTGGGCAGTGCATCTCCTGAGTTATCTTCCAGACTAGCAGCTGTGGCCTTCAAAGAACTCTAGTGGGACAAAGATGCAGTCCAGGCAAGAGGACAGAAGGCTCCAGTGTGTGCATCAACACTTCGGTATGGACATACAGCTTCCACTCTGCTCACTCCACTCTTAACAGAGAGCATAACAGCACAGTACTTAAATGCACGATCACAAATGACCTTCAAAATGACTGTTGCTTTGCACAGTTTCTACAAAATTCCTTAATAGTTGTACTATCCTGACAACAGATTTTGCATGAGATAAAGTCTGTCTGTCAGAAGGGCTTACTGCCTTCTCTGTGACTCTCCTTTTTAAGCAGAATTCATCCCTCTGAGGTAATGACAGACCTCTACCCTTGTGAATACACTTGGCTTTACGTGTGTAATGCTTTCATACCAGTTTACACCAGCTGTGCAGTCATCCCTTTATGTCTTCCTAAATTTGTTTTCTCATGTATATTATATATTCAAGAACATTCTCTGATTTATCAGGACACAGTCATACAAAGCTGGCAATTATTTTATTCTCATGTTTGCTTCTCCTCGGAATATAGCCTTACAAAGCAATTTGTCCAGCTGAACAGGTTTCTGGCTTCTCTTAACAACTTATCTCTTTTTGTCCCCACAGTTTTCTGCCTCCTCACGGAGCTGAAAACAGATTTGAGTATATGCTAAAATATATCAGTTAAACAATTCGGATTTATGATTTTTTTACAAAATCATTTCATGTTATTCACATTTGCACCACTGAGGTAGTGATAACTTTTGCACAAGACTTGGAGACAAGAGTTGGAAGAAGACTGAAAGCTTTTATATTGTCATGATCACCTAAATGGCTGTAATGCAGTTATGCTCCAATGGTTTGTCTATACTGGAGTGGCGTATGTGAGCAAATATCCAGGCTAGGTTTAACCTGATAACACAGGTATTAATAAGAACAAAGCCCAGGCATTACAGACTTACTCATAATGCAGGTTGCCAAGTGAATCATTATGGTCTTGCTATCAATTTTTCCCCACTACGGTTATGCAGCTACTTCGTTTGCACCACAGACGTACATGTATTAGAGAGTAGCAATGCTACTCTGTTCTGGTTTAAGTTTTTACTGAGTTACTGTACTACTCATTTACATGTCAATGCAACTAATTGTATTGTTTCTTTGACCTATACTCCACCTGTCTGAAGAATGATTAATTCCTTTCCTTCTCCAAAGAGGAACTAGACTAGGAGTCCTTCACAATATTGTTCAGTTATTTCCCTTGGGGGTGATAAACACAATGTATGGACCCAATTCCACTTTACCAAAGAAATTGTCCCACTGAGTCAAAAGAATAAAGAGTAAAGGCTACAGAAGCTTGGCAAGAGGACTGCTACATAAACATAGTGGAGGCTCTCACTGCAGAACTGAAAAAACATTTTCAGGGTCTCACTAGTAAAGTTGTTACGTTCCCCTAAAGTCTTAATGGTGAATTAAAAAACAAGTGTAAGGCCAGTTCCATTTCATGAGAAAAACTTCACTAGCCCTAAGAAGCCACTCTAGATGTTTCCACAATTTGGCAAGTCTCCCATCAAAAAGACCAGATTAGAACTTCATAGCTAGTTACCATCTAATTAATCAACTTCAAACTGTTCAGCAATAGACGAAATTATGGTAGTGCTCTTTGAATTAAGCTGTCACTGCCATTCATTAACATTATGTACAGTCAGGTTCCTGGAAGCCCTGTTGCAGTGAAACAATGGGGTCATGTTGGAACTCCCTAATGTTTACAATGCACCTTTTTTTTGTAAAGCGTGTCCCATATTATGGGCTAGGACTGTCAGATATGTCTTAGGCTGGTCAGTCAAAAAAAGCTGTGCAGCTAACTCCTTCTGTCGCCTCTGAAAATCTCAGCCCTTAAACATGTATACGTGGAATTCCAGCAACTCAAGGGAATAACAGTAGCAACTAGCTGAGAGCTCCAGTTCATGTTCGCAGGCGAATGGAGCTGCAGCACCTCAGACAGATATTGCTGGCCCTCCTGTTACAGCTTATTTACTTACTTGCTGATTCCCATCCTCTCATGGAAGTTACTGCTTCCATACCAGAGATTATTTAGCAAACACATACCTGCTCTTGAATTATTTGCAACCTGGTTTATTCATGAAAACTGAAAATGCCAATTATGTACATGAACATAAGACCCAGAAAGCGCTCAAGAGTGGAACTCTAATCTGTTCATTCTCCCCACTATGGAGATTATTACCTCCTGAAGGGACACAAGGCAGAAAATTGAGGAAGAACACTGTTACCTGCCATAGCCAAATTAACTTCTAAATGTCAACTGGACACTGAAGTAAATCATTAATGGATACAGTTAAACTTCCCATGATTGCACCAGGATTGAGTCATACTGCACACCATGAGGTCTCAAATGGCCGAATGAGCTACTGCTTTTAACTTAACATCTAGAAAAGCTGCAGCCTCCATGCCTAGATTGCTGTGAGCTCCTCACAACACCTAGGCCATTAGGACTAGAAACCACATTGCTCCTTTGGGGTAAGGACTCTTCCTTTCTCTTCATTTTCAGCATTTCTTTATCTAAAGAAAACTTTGTGTCAAAGCACACCCAGTCCTAGAGTGAGCAC